GACTCTCAACCACTGCACCACCAGGGAAGCCCCCATATATTCTTTTTATTATTTATATTTTTATAGACAAAGTACTTTTTAAACTCATCTACTATTTCTTACCAAACTCACTAAAATATGTGTATTAAAATACTGGACTTATCTGGAGTCAGTATATCTAACTCAGAAAATACTGTTACTCTGTAAGCTATCTTAAACTATAAAATATTGTTACTATCCCAAGAATTCAAGTAAACAATAATTTACTGTATTTTAACCCCTGTAAGAAAGTAGAGCAAAAAAGGATTCACTGAGAAAGTAACCTGAGTTATGTCTTGAAGCATAAACAGCACACCTTAAGAAAGACAGTGTGTGCATGTACATATGCATATGTGCATGTGTGTGTAAGTGAAGAAGACAGACAATAGGAAGATGGTATTCTTAGCAAAGAAAACAAGTCTAGGTCACCAGTGGAATTCCAGGTGAGGCTAGATGAGCTGTATCGGGTATTTCTGAAAGATTTCATGAATCAGGTATAGACTGAAACAAAATCACAGACAAGGCCTTCTCAATACTAATGTTTGAGAGCCTAAGAATGTAATTGCTCCTCTATCAAACTCTACCACTAGAAAAAAACATACTATCAACACTTTTCTGAGGTTCTATCCAGTGAAATATGTCAAGAAAATACAGGAAGTTTTATAAACATTAAAAGAAAAAAATCTTGTTTACACTGATTGATTCTCCAGGATAGACAAGACAGAAAGATTCAATATCATAAAAAGTGTGAAAATTAATCATTAATTCAATGCAATTTCAATCCATAACTTGACAGAGATTCTAAACTAATCTGGAACAACATATATACTCAAGAATGACCAAGACAAAAACTGTAGAATAATAATAATCAGGGGAACATACTCTACCGGACATCAGAATATACTATAAAGCAAAACAATTAAGATAGTATAGGGACTTCCCTGGTGGCACAGTGGTTAAGAACCGCCTGCCAATGCAGGGGACACAGGTTTCAGCCCTGGTCCGGGAAGATCCCACATGCCGCAGAGCAACTAAGCCTGTGCGTCACAACTACTGAGGCTGCGCTCTAGAGCCCACGAGCCACAACTACTGAGCCCCCACACCTAGAGCCCTGCTCCGCGACAAGAGAAGCCACCGCAATGAGAAACCCACACACCGCACCACAATGAAGAGTGGCCCCAGCTCACCACAACTAGAGAAAGCCCGCACACGGCAACGAAGACCCAACCCAGCCAAAAATAAATTAATTAATTTTAAAAAATAGTATAATACTAGTACAGGAATCAAAATCATTAACAGAATCTAGCATCAGATTCATGTTTATGTCAGAATTTAGTGTGTATTAAAGGACAGATCAGCTGGTAACTGATAAACGCATAACTATCCATATGAAGAAGATAAATGTTCTCTATTAGCTACAAAAAAATCTCATTTCCAGGTATTTGACTTTCTGACCAAAAACTCCTATCTTCTGACTCCATTCCTTTGACCCCCACAGAGTTTCCATTTCTTGCCCACACCAGTTTGCACTACCCATCACTGCTCTTATGTAATCTCCTTCTCTCCTTACTCAGCTTAGATTCTATGGTATATCACTACCATACCTTATTATTAAAGTGAGGTTATCAATGAACTGGGAGACCAGGGTTTTGGACGAACTGTCTATCTGCATGCCAAAGCCCTTAAGAATGAGGGCAAGAGTACTGCTAGAGGGACTTCCCTGGTGGCACAGTGCTTAAGAATCCGCCTGTCAATGCAGGGGACAAGCCCTGGTCCGGGAAGATCCCACATGCTGCGGAGCAGCTAAGCCCGTGCGCCAAAACTACTGAGCCTGCGCTCTACAGCCCGCGAGCCACAACTACTGAAGACCGCATGCCACAACTACTGAAGCCCATGCGCCTAGAGCCTGTGCTCCACAACAAGAGAAGCCACCGCAATGAGAAGCCTGCGCACCGCAATGAAGAGTAGCCCCACTCACCGCAACTAGAGAAAGCCCGTGAGCAGCAACGAAGACCCAACGCAGCCAAAAATAAATAAAATACATATTTAAAAAAAAAAAAGAGCACTGCTAGACAGAAAATCAGTACACCAGGTGCTAAAACTGTTTTTGAAAGAGAGGATTGACTGGGAAATCAGCAGATGCCTGTGACAAGGAGGTGCAGCAGATCTTACAAAACTTCTAAGGAGCTGAGGTTTTTACAGAGAAAAAGGGAAAAGGTAGTCTAGAAGCCACAAATATGAGCAAGAAAGACGTGCACCCCACTTTTAGACCCAATGGTACATGCTGTGTGAGAGAAAAAAACAGCTGCCACTTGAAAGTTTTCTTGGGAGAAGTGGTGTTCTCAGGAGATAGCCATGTTTTACTTAAGAGTCCGGAGTGGAGGGAATGTTTTGAAGAAAGCTGAGGATACAGGAGATTTCACTAATAAAGACCCACAACCACTTCCACAATACCTTCATATAATGAATATATATGTGATACATAACATCACATAAAGATGTAAAGAATACACCTAAATGAAACAAATTTCAGAACAATATATATATTATCATTGCATCTTTGTGAAATAATGACAACAAAGAACCTCAACAACTATACTAGGTTTATATATACAGGAAAAATATCATTAAGGGTTACTTCTGAGAAGGTGAGATCATGGAGAACTTTCAACATTAAATATTTCTGTAATTTCAGAAACCTTTATTTAATTCTATTATATTCTGATAATCATAAGAAACAGTAACGTTGTATCTATATAAACAAGTTAAGCTATTTCCAGAGGAGAGGAGAATCAGCTAACATAATTCATATGGTAACAACCTGACAGAAGGGGATGGTACCTGTTCAGTGAGACAGAAATCTGCAAGAGGGAACCACAGCTAAAACTATACTGTGACTAAAAGCTGAAGCTGAGTAAATTATTAATGACACAAGAATTTCAAGGGAGTGTTCTCAAGTTAAATCACTTTCCTTCCACTTCAGTAAATCTGTACTTCTCAGGTTTAACAACTCAAGTGTGCTCACCTAACTTCCACAAGGTCATTTGGTTTATAGCTGGGATGAAGAAAGAACCAAACTTTCTTGACAAAATGATTAATGCTGGGTTCTCTACGGGACCCTCGGACATATACCATCCACTTGTGGGTTGATTGGTCGTTTTCTTCTCTCTTATCAGGAGGTATGTACCTAGAGTACAGAAAAAAAAAAAAACTACTCGAATTCTTTTTTCCTAATAAACCAATTAACTACTACTTAAAACAAGATTAAAAATCAATTACAAGAAGAAAATAGGAAAATTTAAATATATGTGAAAATTAAGCAACATGCTACTTACCAACAAATAGGTGAAAAAAAAATCAAAAGAGAAATAAAAAAATATCTTGAGACAACTGAAAATGGAAATAGAGCACACCAAAACCTAAGTGATGCAGCAAAAACAGTTCTAAGAAGTTTACAGTGATAAATGCCTACATTAAGAAAAAAGAAAGACTTCATATACACAATCTAACTTTACACTGTAAGGAACTAGAAAGAAAAAAACAGACTAAGCCCAAAGTTAGTAGAAGGAAGGAAATAACCAAGATCAGAGTGGAAATAAATTGAGACCAAAAACACAGTAGAAAGGATCAAAGAAACTAAGAGCTGATTTTTTGAAAAGATAAACAAAATAGACAAAAACCTTTACCCAGACTTACCAAGAAAAGTGGGGGAGGGAGGGGGACAACAGACTCAAATAAATAAAATTATAAATGAAAGTGGAGATGTTACAACTCATACTACACAAATACAAAGGATCATAAGAGACGGAGAACAATTAAACACCAACGAACCAGACAACTTAGAAGTAGTGAATAAATCCTAAAAATACACAGCTCACCCAGACTGAATCGTGAAGAAATAGAAAATCTGAACAGAACAATTACTAGTAAGGAGACTGAATTAGTAAAAACCTCCCAAAAAAGTACATTCCAGGACCAGATGGCTTTAAAGGGTGAATTCTACCAAACATTTAAAGAATTGGTACCAATCCTCAATCTCTTCTAAAAAACAGAAGAGGAGGGAACACTCAACAAACTTTTTTTTTTTTTTGTGGTAGGCAGGCCTCTCACTGTTGGGGCCTCTCTCGTTGTAGAGCACAGGCTCCGGACGTGCAGGCTCAGTGGCCATGGCTCACGGGCCTAGCCGCTCTGCGGCATGTGGGATCTTCCCGGACCGGGGCACGAGCCTGTGTCCCCTGCATCGGCAGATGGACTCAACTGCTGCGCCACCAGGGAAACCCAACACACTCATTTAACAAAGCCAAAATTACCCTGATACCAAAGCCAAATAAGGATACTACAAGGAAATTACAAGCCAGTATCCCTGATAAAAGTAGATGCAAAATTCTTCAACAAAACATTAGTAAACAGAATTCAACAGTACACTGACACATTACTGACCTGAGAGGTATTAATGCGTCTTTTGTTACCCGAACGTTATTTGTTACCCGAACGTTATTGACTGGAGACGTATCAATAGAGAGTGATACAATTAACATCACAGTGCGAAGTTGTTACAGCTTAAAATTGATCAAGGTTTCATTATACAACTTATGACTGTCATTATCATTCACATTTTGCTCTGTTATTAGGTTTTTGTCCCAATCTTGTGTATATTATAAATGCAAGTTTATTACCATAAAATTTTCAAAAATGACGCATCACAAATTTTGAGTGAAGAAGAATTTTTTGGTGAATTTTATACAGATACTTTCTCTGACTGTCCCAGCGACATATACACTAGTGCCTCAGAAGATGACAGTTCTTCAGAATATAGTTCTGATTCAGATGATGTGAATTATTAGACCAACAAAAAGACAAAAAACCTTAGTGATTGATTCTGATACGGAAAGTGAAAATGAAACTCACGGTGCTGGAGAATGCTCCTTTGCTTCTACGGAAGAGTGGACTGAAGACAACACTTCACGAAAATTAGAAGACTTTACAGGTGTATCAGGTGTAACTACTGAATGTAATAACCCGCAAAGTGTTAGTGAAATAACAATTAATTTTTGGTAACGACTTTTTCAAGTTGGTCGGTTCTCAAACAAACCTGTATTACCAACAGAATGAAAAATCATATAGAAAGTATGATAAGGGGCTTCCCTGGTGGCGCAGTGGTTGAGAGTCCACCTGCCAATGCAGGGGACGTGGGTTCATGCCCCGGTCCGGGAGGATCCCACATGGCGCGGAGCGGCTGGGCCCATGAGCCATGGCCGCTGAGCCTGCGCATCCGGAGCCTGTGCTCTGCAACAGGAGAGGCCACAACAGTGAGGGGCCCGCGTACCACAAAATAAATAAATAAATAAATAAATAGTATGATAAGGCTTTAAAATGGACTGATGTAACCCATAGTGACATGAAGAAGTTTCTTGGATTAATAATTTTGATGAGGGCTTCCCTGGTGGCGCAGTGGTTGAGAGTCCGCCTGCCGATGCAGGGGACACAGGTTCATGCCCCGGTCCGGGAAGATCCCACATGCCACGGAGCGGCTGGGCCTGTGAGCCATGGCCGCTAAGCCTGCGTGTCCGTAGCCTGTGCTCCGCAACAGGAGAGGCCACAACAGTGAGAGGCCTGCATACCGCAAAAAAAATAAAAATAAAATAATTTTGATGGGACAATTAAGAAAGTCACACTGGAAAGAATACTGGTTGACTGATCCCGAAACACCAATCTTTCCAAAGATTATGACAAGAAGGTTTGAACAAATAATGGTATTTCTTCACTTTACCAATAACTCAGAAACTCCACTTGCTACAGAAAGAATTTCAAAAACCTCTTATGGATTATTTTCTACCAAAATTTCAATCGATCTATATACCCAAACAAGAGCTATCACTTGAGGAGGCAATGATAAAGTGGAGGGGACAACTCAGATTCAAAACCTATAATCCAAAAAAAATAAAATAAAAAACCTATAATCCCAGAAAACTTACAAAATATGGAATTTTGGTCAGGATGGTGAGTGAAAGTGAAACCAGATATATATGCAACTTTGAGATTTACACGGGTGAAGGAAAGAAACTGCAAGAAACAATATTATTGGTCCTACAACCTTATCACGGTTCATGGCACCATATTTACCAAGACAATTATTACTACAGTGTGTCCACATCTGAAATATTGTTGAAAAATAAAACCAGAGTTTGTGGGACTATAAGAGAGAATCGTGGTCTACCAAACCAATTAAAGGAGAAATCTAAAAATCTATAGAGAGGAGAAATGACATTCTTATGGAAGGGAGAAGTGACTCTTCTTATATGGAAAGACAAGAGGCTAGTCCTCATGGTGACAACTATTCATGACACCTCCATAGCAACTACAGGAAAACAAGAAGGAGGACTGGTCATCAGATAACTAAGCCCACCTGTATATTAGAGTATAATAAATACATGAAGGGAGTTGATCAATCCAATCAATACCTGGCAAAATTCAATATCCTCCAGAGAACTCGAAAATGGTATAAGAAAGTAGGTTTATATTTGAGTAATTGCAGTTTTATTCAATGTGTTTAAAATTTATTGCAGCCTTAATGCACAGAATAAAATGACTTACAAGCAATTTTTGTTAGCAGTAGCTAGAGAATGGGGAATTGACCATTCTGGTAATACAGCGGTAGTCCCACACCTGGTCCTTCTTGTGGCATTTCTAGAACAGTGCGCCACAAAGATCCACCTTGTCAACTATCAGGTAAAATAAAAGAATATATTCTAGAGGAAATAATACCCACAGGACCAAAAACAAATGCCACCAGAAAGTGTAGAATCTGCTATTCCAGGGGAAAGTGTACTGAAACATGGTATATTTGTAATAGATGTTCTGTTCCCCTGCACAGAGGTGCCTGCTATACTGCCTATCACACTCTAACGAAATATCAGAATGCTTTAGTAAGACATGTACAAAGTTTCAAATAAATACATTAAGTGCAAAAAACGTTGCTGATATTTACTCAAACGCAGATGTTTCAATATTCACTTACATAACAAACCATCAGCCACAGGTGTTAGTTTCTGCAAAAATCCCCTGGTCAATAATGTGTTAAAAGTATCAACAACATGATCAAGTGGGATTTATTCCAGGCATGCAATGATGGTTTGACATCCACAAATCAACCAATGCAACACACCACATTAATAAAATGAAGGCTAAAAATCATATGATCATCTCAATAGATGCAGAAAAAGCATTTGACAAAATTCAATACCCATTCATCATAAAAACTCTCAACAAACTGGGTATAGAGGAAGCATAACTCAACATAATAAAGGTCACGTATGACAAGCCTACAGCTAACATCGTATTCAATGGTGAACGCTAGAAGCTTTTCCTCTAAGATCAGGCACAAGACAAGGATGTCCACTCTTGCCACGTCTTTCTACACAGTACTGTAAGTCCCAGCCAGAGCAATTAGACAAGAAAAAGAAATAAAAGGCAACCAAAATGGAAAGGAAGAATTAAAATGGTTTTTATTTGCACACAACATAATATCATATAGAAAAACCTAAAGATTCCACCACAAAACTGTTAAAACTAATAAATGAATTCAGTAAAGTTACAGGATATAAAATCAACATAAAAAATCAGTTGTGGGGCTTCCCTTGGTGGCGCAGTGGTTGGGAGTCCGCCTGCCGATGCGGGGAGTGCGGGTTTGTGCCCCGGTCCGGGAGGATCCCGCATGCCGCGGAGCGGCTGGGCCCGTGGGCCGTGGCCGCTGAGCTTGCGCGTCCGGAGCCTGTGCTCCGCAGTGGGAGAGGCCGCAGGGGTGGGAGGCCCGCGTACCGCAAAAAAAAAAAAAAAAAAATCAGTTGTGTTTCTATACACTAACAACAAACTATCAGAAAGAGAAATTAAGACAATAATTTCATTTACAAGAGCATCAAATACAATAACACACTTAGCAATAAATTTAACCAAAGAGGTAAAAGACCTGTTCACTGAAAACTATAAGACATGATGAAAGAAACTGAACAAGGCACAAATAAATATATATTCTGTGCTCATGTACTGGAAGAATTAATAGTTAAAATGTTCATACTATCCAAAGCCAATTTAGATTCAATACAATCCCTATAAAATTCCAATGGCATTTTTCACAGAAATAGAAAAACAATCCTAAAATCTGTATGGAACCAGAGAAGATTCTGAATG